AGGTGCCTGCAGCCCTGCCTGCAGCCTGGTGAGGATCAGAGGGACCTCACATCTCGAGGTGTTCAGTGCAAAAGCCTTCAGTCTTTATCTTCATCTTCACTGTGATTGATGGGACCAGTTAAACTGGTCTGATCTCTCTTTAAAAGAAGAAAAACAGTGTGTTGACCCCGCTTTTCCCTCCGTGTCCCTGTTTTGACTCGTGACTCAGAATGCATGATCTCCGTTTGTGATCATATTGATTTCATTTTATGATGATATACGATAGATGAAGTTAGGGCTGGGTGACAAAACGATATATATCAATTAATTAATTTCCCTCAATATCGATGTGAAACATGATCAATATGTTTTTCGATAGTCGGCATTCTGCCATGTTTTGTTAGACTATACAAACAGCTAATGAAAAGGGGAGTTGCTCCGGGTCGCGTTGCGCTGAACCAATCATGTGCTGAATTAGAACCAAGTAGCAAACAACTGCATAGTAGCAGGCTGCAACCATAACACTTACAGGGCTTGACACTAACTTTTTTCATAAGGAGCACATGTGTTCCTAAGTTGAAAAAGTAAGGAGCACACAAAGAACTTTAGGGGCACAATGAAAATTGATCAAATAATGTGTGTCTTATTGTTTGACATTAATATTTTTATTTGAAATCAATTTTAGGTCAACTGGACGCGTGACATGGAAGCTATTGAAGGAAAACAGCCTTTTCTGTGAACATCAACAGTTAATTTGTTGACGGTCCCTTATTCAACACCCGACGTTGACAGCGAGGGTGCGGATTACAATTAACTGCTGCTGCTATTCCCGGTTATGGCGAATGAGAAGACACCAGAAGATCCGCTGTCAATGTCGGTTGAATATCCAACCTAAAACTAACTTCACCGCGGTATTTACATGAAAAAACATTTGTTGCCCTGGCTGGTTTATTTATGGACACATGTGCCCCTAAATATAATTTTACAATTTGCACACATCTATTTTTAGTAGCTGTCGCACTGTCGAACCCTGACTTAAACACGTGAAGCCGACAGCACTGTCGGTGAAAAAAAAAGAAAATTAGTGCTACCCCCAGCAGAAATGCAGATAAAGGCTCAACGGTTGACGACATTGTCGACAACAAGGCATGAAAACATCGGTGGTGTGGAGGTATTTTGTTTGTTTGGGGTCAGACATGAAGTAGAGTAATTTGCACTGCAAATTATATCGAGTACATGTTAAATTACATTAAAAAGTAACAGGGAACATTTAAGAGTGACAGTATCATGATACATATCGATATCGACTGACATTAAAAAAATGTATCACGATAAACTTTTTCCCAGCCCTAGATGAAGTTGTGGAAAAGATTTCGCTACAAGGGTGTGCTGAGAAAGAGAGGGGGGGCACTACACTACATGTGAGTACATGCCAGTAATCTGACCTTTGCAACCTTTCTGCCGCCTCCCTGGGGTTTCCCATCCGTTTCCAAAGAGGCCTTGTGGGGAGTTCCTCATGGGGGTTCCTTCTGGGTTATGAGATCCCTGGCGTGGATGCTGGGTAGGGCGGGCGTGCTGGCACTGTAGCAGCGCTGGCGCGGAGCTTTGCCAGGATTGGGAATGCCAGAGGCCTGCCACACTCCTGCTGGGAGCCTCCCAGGCAATTAGACTGCCATAGTAGCGAGCTGCTGTCTGAACTGTAGAGCAGAGGAAGCGGAGATACGACCAGTGATTGGAAATATAAAACAGTCTGTGTTGACACTGTGTTGACTTTGGCTAATGGACTGAGTGCAAACAGACAGAATATTTCAGGTTAAAGTGAGCACACTGTTAACACGCACGCTCTGAAATACTTGTAAGCAATCTGCTCTGAGAGTGTGCGCGACATGATAAGTCCTTGGAAGAGCAGCCTTGATTTGATGTGTGCGAGGGGTGAAAAAAGTTGCCCTCCTTCTATCCGTGTCTCTGTCACCCCAGCGGAAAGAGGAGTGAATCGCTCTCACTCTCACTGTCTCTCCTCCTTTCTCCCCTCTCCATCTCTCTGTCTGATGAAAGAGGAGCTATGATCGCTTCGACAACAAAGGGCCCCGGCCGCCTGTGTTTGGATGAGGCTCTCCTTTCTTCTCTCCTTCCTCCTCCTCCTCTATCTATCTCTTCTAACCCCCTCTGATCTCACTTACTCTCTTTTTCCTCCGTGTCGCCCCCGTCTACCCTTCTTGTCCCCCTCTCCCTCCCTTCCCTCCTTCCTTCCCGCTCTATCTCTCACTGCCTGATGCCTCTCACTGGCGTTGCTCCTCCGTTCTTCGTTAGGGCCTCGGCGATACAATCAGGGGACGGAATTAAAAATCAGAAAGTGTCCTTGTCGGAGAGACACCCCGGATGGCGCACTTTGATGTCTCCTTGGAAATTTGAAATTCATATGTTGTCACACTTCATTTTACCCCCCCTCCCCTCCTTCTCTCTTTCTCCTTTTCTTCGCCTTCCTCTTCCTCTTCTCCGTCAAGTGCCATCATGTACTATTCAGTTAAGAAGAGCGAACGCAGAAGAACGTAAGACACGTCGAACAAGTGTTTCTGAACGCCCTTTCTTGTCTTTTATTTTTCATGTTTTTACTTTGTGAAGAAGGCGGGAAGACATAATGAATCATTTAATTCTCTTTTGATTGTAGGTGCCAGGGTGCGTGGGCTTAGAAGTGGATGACAGGGGGGTGAGGGACCGCAGGACGGGTGGAAATGTGGCGGCGGGGCCACTTTGATGCCATATCAGAACCTGCCGCCAAGTCAAAGCTATTTGACAGAGTGAGGGAAGTGTGGCTGGCACACGCTCTGCGGCGGCGCACACACACGGATTCAGACAGGCACATAAACTCTCTGGCAGAAACCCTGGCCAGGTCCCCAGTGTAAAAAACAAATAAATGCACATGCTGTATGAGTTTCTCTCCACCCTTCAAAATAAAAGACTAGAGTCCGGACGTAATCCTGTTATGGCTTCCATAAAGGAAACATCAAAACATATTAATTTTACACTGAATAGCATGTGAGTCACTGTGAGCGCATTGTTGAGATGTGAGGGAAAGTGAGTGAGAATAAACAGTAATGAGTCAACCACGTTAATAAACAGCAGCCTTCAAAGAGCCGCGTTTTAAAAAATGACACTTTTCTGGACACATTTCTCATTCTTGTCTTGAAGAAAATGAGGGGGCACATCACCGGGTCCTGGATGGCCCCTCCCAAGACAGTTACAAATGGGCATGAAGGTGGGGTGGGGATTGGGTGAGGGGGGTTGGATGAGCAGGATGGGGTTTGAAGTCAGGGATGGGGGAGTCCCACCGGTCCACTGTACCCCCGATTCATCATTAATCACTCCTGCTGAGCCCCTCAGACCCTCCCTCTCCTCCTTGCCACCCCTGCCTTCCACCTATAAGACCCACTCCCCAAGGTGGTGGCAACCTACCCCTCCTTCTACTATCAACACCACCCGCAACACTTGCCCCTCCTCAAAACAACAATTTCTGCTATCTAGCACCTCAGGAAAGTCTTTGTCTCCGGATCTCCTTTCCCCCTTTTTTTCTGCTTTCTCCTTTTTCACTCTCCATCTTCCTCTTTTTTCCCCCTTTCTTTGTGACAAATGGGTTTTAATAAAAGCTGACAGAGCGATGAAATTAAACAAGTGCATCCCATGGCCAGCTATAGCTCCAGCCTGAGCGTGGCACTGACATATTTAAAACAGGGCCTTAATTCAGTAGCCCGCCCCTGCCTTACATCACCGGGGCTCCTCACTGTTATCAGAGTCATTATTACTGCCTGACGCTGTATTGTTGTTGTAAAAAAAGATCACAGCTCCACTGGAACCAGAGGAGACAAGCATTTAGCAGCCTGCTTCGTCCTTGTGCCAACGCTGACCCCTATAAAACTGTTTATTCCATTGACCCTATTAGCAGATATTAGGCCCCATCTCCCATGTTGCCTCATTACAGCCCTGCATCGTAAAGAGAAAAAAAAAGGGGGCTGGGATGGAGAAGGAGGTGGTCGGGGAGACGGAAAGCGAGTGTGCGTCTTTTCCGAGGGAACCCTTCCATAAGGAATAACCGACACAGAGGACTTACCCACGCCTCGGGAGCTCTCACCCGACGTTAGAGAGCATTGTTTTGTTGGATTATGGGGTGAGGAGGGGAACCTAATCCCCTAATTTTTAATCTCTCCTGATTCCAGAGGGATGCATAAGAGACTGGGGGGCTTCCCTGACACAGCTTGGGTGGATGGGTTGCAGAGAAGGGGGTCTTGGGGGGAGGGGTGATTGGGATAAGAAAAGGGGTGTTTTTTTTTAACAAAGGGGTATATGATATTTTTGGTAGGACTACAACATTGGTTTAAAAACTTTTACAACCACTTGAGACATTTTCACTCAATGAAAATTCCTGAAATTGCGAGATGTGAAGGGAAGTGCTGGAAAAGTTTCCAAACTCGAACTATCTTCTGTAAAATCAAGCGAAAAGATGGCGGTTTAGGAGTGTGTGTCGCAACAAAAATAATTCCAATCCCATTTGTAGTCCGTGCACTACACAAAATTCAGAATCTCTCTCTGTGACAGTGATAACATATCCTTCTCTCCAAACATTTCTGCTTTGTCATTTCATCCCCTCGCCTCCGTGTGTCTGGGTGTGTGGATAATTTCTCAGACAGCTTACAGTGACAGGCTTTTGGGATGGGGGGATAAGTTGTCTGGGAGCTCATCCCTATAATCTGTGAAGGATATACAGGGTCTCCCCAGGCGGGATACAGGGACTGTTCACCTGCAGCATTAGCCAAATAAGATTAGGAGCTGGACTGGAACCCAAACACTCGCTGTGGGCGGAAATATATATATATGAGTATATACAGAATCTCATAGGGGGGAAATTTGTTTGAAAATTTTTTAAGCTGAAAACACACTTAACACCTTTTGCAATGGGAATTTTAACATCCAGTTGATGCACAAAAACGTATGAGGGGAAAGAAGGGACATCAAACCTCCGACTGGGTTCAACTGAAGGCCTCTTTCAAATGGAAAGTTAGCTGCGGAGCTGGCGGGAAGCGGAGCAGGACGGATGGAAACAGGGATGGAGGAGGGAGGGTGGCGGCGGCGGGCGGACACAGGGAGTTAGAAATCATTGCGTCCATTGACGGAGTAACCTTGGGCGGCTTCCAGCGTGACTGAGAGAGTGAGTGAGCGACGGGGTCCTGGAGCAGAGCCAAGCGAGCCTTTTGTGCCAGCAGCCGCCACATTCCAATCAGCCACGGATATTTATACTCCAGGCCTAATTGAAAGGTTGGCTTGTGAACCATCTGCATGCACCCACACTCCAACTCCCTCTGCAATACACACACACGCATATACATACACACACACACACACACCCACACACAGAGACAGACACTCTCCTTAGTGCTTTACCAATGCAGACACAGCCAGCTTTGACCCGCAGAAGAGAGAGGCCAGACGTGCTGCATCTGTGACGGCTAACATCCCAAAAGGGCAGAGATGGAAAGGGTGACTTATGGCAAAAGCCTTTCAGCCAAAGGTTAAATTCAGAATTTGTTTCCTGTTTCTATATTTACATCTTCTTGCAAAAATTGTGCAGAAAAAGACTCTGAAAACAATGATTTGACGGATCCATCAGGTAGCTGGATCTGGTTTTCTACTGCTTTACTATCCAATAAGCTCCTATCTTGAAGCAAAACTGATTAAATTCAAGACAATTTTGATTACAGAATATCATACAGTCATTACACAGGCATTGAATTGACAGTTTTTAGCATTGCAAATTCACACACACAAGAAAAAGTGTCGAAAATCTAAAAACCATTAGCCTAAAAGTGTGCTAATCTGTTAAGTCTTTGTAATTACATTTAAACAAACAACATCCAGTCCCGAGTCAATGGCGTCCCTTTCACCCGGATACATTTTTCTCAATAATGACAAACAGAAAAAACCAGCATGGGAACATTTTACCTGGTAGTAATTTCTACAAAGTGAGCTGATAGACCTGTACTTTGTACCAGTGTGCAGCTGAAGGAGTCTGGCAGCTGATAAAAGGAGCTGAGCACCAGTGTGAGATAAATGACTTGATGATTGATTACCACCCGGAGCAGAAAAATGAGCACAGCACAAAACCAGTCAGTGATGTTTGTGTAATGAACATTTTCTCACAGTAACCTCTCTATATCACTCAGCAATGACTCTGTGTTTAGGGCTTGACACCGGAGTCCAAGTAAATCTTGTAAAAGTCATTAGAATAACAGTGACGTTCATCATCTGCCCCAATTACACACTTTTCTACTGCAGGTTTTACTGCAATGCAACAATACACTCTTACAACTAAAGGTTTTTTAACTATACGACAGTAATCCTTCATATGCCTCTCAGTTTGGACATGTTTGAAGTTGTAATTGTGATGTAGTTGAAATTAAGAAGACGGAGAAAAAAACCGCAAAGATTCATTTTTTAGTGATTCCCATCAAGTGCAGAAAAATTGGCCTTAAAGGTACAAAAATGATAAAACTAATCATTTCCAAATTAACTCGGTGTTGATCAATTACTCTGGTGCTTATAATAAACAAACATTTGTTTAAAATTCATCCAGCATTCACCTAACCCCCTAATCATCACTTTAAATCTCATCTGGAAATCTAAACTTGCGCTAAACCGACTGACTAACCACATGCCAAACAGCGAGCCAAAAACCAGGACTCCAGGGGAGCTGTGGCACACTGAAACACAAATATCAGACTTCTGTCTCACAAGCACAGAAATGCAGCACAGGCTCGTGGGATCGGGTAACTAAACCCACTGATTAATGCACAATTAGTGTTGTGTTGTGTCAGTTAACAGGATGGAGCTGATGGAGTTTGCAGCGATGGCGAGGAGTGTGTTAAAGCTCTCGGCGGGCATCCAGCTGGCCCTTCGCTCATCTCTGGGACGTGCTGGGCTTCCTCTGCCAGCTGGCACGGGAACACAGCGTCATGTTCATTCATGACAGGCATCTCCAAAAACTTGTGAAAAACCTCCTGATTCTTGAATGCTCCTTTCACTAGACGCTTTCAAAAAGGGAAAAATAGAAAAAAAGAAAGAACACCTTTTCATGTCTTCTAAGTCAAGGACATTTAGGGCAGCTCAGAAAAGTTTTTCAATATGTTGCCTAAAACATTATTTATGTTTGTTGTGGATGATGCCTCTCACATTTACATCGCTGTAGAAAATGAAGTTAAAAAAAAAGACAAAAACTATTCGCAACAAATGCAGGAGGTCCTATTTTGTGGATGTTATTTCTCTCCTCAACTTTGGAGTGTGATGGTTTAGAAAAACAAAATTATACTCTGTTTAAAGTGGTAGTTTACACACCAAACTAGCTCATTTCCTGAGTGTAATTGACAATCAACACAACACAACACACAGCAGAGAGTTTTTATGGCACTAATAAGTGAAGGCCTGAGCAGCATTTCAACATTAAATCTAGTCAAGTTAAATTGTTTGGGTATGCATAAACTTCTGCTTAAGTATCAACTTCTTCTGATCCATTTAACACCGCCTATTTTACAGGCTTTTGAAAAGGTTGTACAAGGAAATATCTCTGCTAACTTATGTTGTCAGGGTAAGGTAGATGGCACGAATAAAGCAGAGCAGATTCCATAAAAACCCCAAACTTAAGTGTCAAAGTTAAGCGTGAGAACAACTCAAGAATACACATACTTGATTTCATTTTAGAACCAAAAAACACAGGCTACGTCCAAGTGACATCAAGCAGTACCTGCTTGTGTGGTTTCTGTTGCTAAATAAAAGTGTGTTCAAAACGTCCTCATGATGAACTGTAATGTCTAAAGTTTGAATGGCAACATTTCATAGAAAAGTATTGAAAATTTGTGATCTTGTTACAAAGAATTGCAGCTTTCAAGGGGTTAGATATTGACGCATAAGCAGCTTTACATACTCTTGCTGTCATGCTGCCACTTTTGTGAAACGCCTCTCCAGCAGACCACTGCCCTGTCACACTGCCAGTCATAAAAATATCTTAGGATTGTGTTATAAAATGTCATAGGATCTTATGATAAAGAGGGTGAAAGTATATTATGATAAAAATGTAACAGTATAGTTTGATAAAAGAAACACAGTATAGTATGATAAAAATATCAAAGTATAGTATGATAAAATGTCATAGTACAGTATGATAGAAATGTCATTGGATAGAATGATAAAAATGTCACATCTAGTTTGATAAAAATTCCACAGTATAGTATGTTAAAAATGTCACAGTATTGTATGATCAGAAAAATCAAAGTACAGGATGATAAAATTTCATAGTATAGTATGATAAAAATGTCAGGGTATAGTATTATAAAATTATCACATTAGAGTATGAAAAAGTCATACTAAAGTATGATTAAAAATCATAGTAAAGTATGATTAGAAAATCATAGTAAAATACGTTGAAATATCATTAAAGTATGTTAAAATATTATAGTATATTATGATAAAAATATCAAAGTTAAGTAATTTAAAGTATTACAGTACAGTTTGTTAAAAATATCATAGTATAATATGATAAAAATATTGTATGATAGTAGGAAAAAAATGTAATAGTATAGTATGATAAAAAAAAAGTAAAGCCACTATAAAAATTTTACATAAAAGTATGGTAAAAAAAATCATAGCATAGTTTGTCAAAGAAATCAGTTAAGTTTGATAAAAAAAAGTCAATCTATAGTATGATCAAAATATTACAGAATAGTATGATAAAAGTATCAGAGTATATTATAATAAAATTTTATAGTATGATAGAAATGTTAAAGTACAGTATGATAAAAATATCATATTACAGTGTTAGGTATATACGTGTGAGTGTCCAAGAGTGTGTGAGTGTCTAAGAGTGAGTATGTAAGTATCTGTGTGAATGTGTCTGCATGTGTAAGTGAGGATGTCCCTGTGTGGATGTACCTGTGTGAAAGTGTCTGCATAGCAGTGTCTCTGTGACAGTGAGTGGGAGTGTCTCTGTGAGAGTTTCTGTGGGTGTGCTTCACCCTCTAATTGTAGGATGCCCATCACCTGGAGTTTCTGCAAAAAAGGGAGCTGAGGACATGCAGCTCTCTCTCACCTCAGCGTGATGTTCTGCAGTGGAGCAGCAGCAGCCTGATAGTGTGATTACAATAGTGATTAAAAAGTGATTTCTCCTTGTGTTAGACCGTGTGGTGTCTCTTTTTTTCTCCCTTAGTTTATCAAAGTATGATAAAAAGTCATAGTAAAGTATGATGAATAATGTCATAGTATGGTATGATAAAAATCAGTAAAGTATGATAAAAACATAGTGGAGTATAATACTAATGAAATAAAATACTATAATAAAAAATCGCAGTAAAGTATGATAAAACAATTAAGTAAAGTCTTAGAAAAATGTCATAGTATAGTATGAAAAAATAATCATAATTAAGCATGATAAAAAAATTATAGAATAGTGATAAGAATATCGTAGTATAGTATGATAAAAAAATCATAGTAAAGTATGAAAAAAATATAGTGTAGTATAATAAAAATGTCATAGTATAGTGTTATAAAAAGGTCATAGTAGAGTATGATTAAAAATCACTTGAGTTTACCAAAAAAAATAAAAGAATAGTATAATAAAAATGTGACAGTTTAGTATGATGATAATATCACAGTATAGTATTATAAAAAAAAAAAAAATAATAAATTGTGATAAAAATGTTATGGTATAGTATGATAAAAATATTATAGTATAGAATGATAAAAAAATCAAAGTAAATTATAAAAAAAATCATATTATAGTATGATAAAACATTATAGTAAAGTCTGAGATGAAAATATCAAAGTATAGCATGATAAAATTGAAATAGTATTGTATGATAAAACTGTCAAATTTTAAAGTGTGAAAAATAGTGATAGTAAAGTATGCTAAAAAATATCAGTGTAGCATGGTAAATAGATCACAGTGTAGTATGATAAAAATTTCAAACTTTGGTATGAAAAAAAGTTATAGTATGATAAGATATCATAGTATAGTTTGATGAAATTGTTAAAGTAAAGTATGATACAATTTTCAATTTTTTGTGAGAAAAAAAGTCTTAGTATAGTATGATAAAAAATAAAACAGTATAGTTTGATAAAAAAAGTCATATTATAGTATGATAAAAATGTCATAGTATAGTGTGATAAAAGTCGTAGTATAGTATGATAAAAGTATCAAAGTATAGCATGATAAAATTGAAATAGTATT